CGTTCCAATTCTGCAGGCAAGAAATCGTTCTGCAGCAAAGTTTGCACACCGTCACTGATGTACAGTCTGGCCACAGCTGTGTCTTGCCATCTCCCCACTATCAAAGTCAAGCCCATGTTCTCGAACCTTCTGTAATGAGTGGTGGCACCTCCACGGCGTAAAGAATATATCTGATAACCGTGCCGCTCGAGGTTCAATGACCTCAAGAGAGCTTTGAACACATCACGAAATTCGGGCACGGTGCCCTGCAGCAACGAGCTCTCAGGCGGCAAATGCTGAGTGAGCACTTTGATGAAGTGAACAATCCTGGCGTCGTGGAGTGTGACGGACTCCTCACAGTGTCGTCTCTTGCCTGCCTTGGTCACAGGCAGGGCTATGACAAGGCTGAGGCCGTCGTTGCTGAACTGCAGCTGCCACTTACGGAGAGTAAGAAGCTCCATTGTACGCAAGAATACGGAGTAGCCAATCACAAGCAGCACCGCTATGTCATTTCGACTCCAGGATCGAGCCACCGTGGCAAGTGACATCAGCACATATTCTGGCATGGGTGGTGCTCTTTGTGGCATCTCAGTCCGTTGCCAAGCCTTCAGCAGGTTCCACGCACTGTGAAAGACTCTCTTGCGTCGCAAGAAAAACTGTACGCCAGACAAGGTGGCCCCAGCATCCCCAGCGGGCCTCCCATGCGCCCATAGCGTCTCTATCCATTCACATAATTGGAAGTCGAGCTGCTCCAGGTCAGTGGCCACGTCGATACCATGGGCACGAATCCAAGAGACAAAGCTTTGCACCATCTGACCATATCTGCGAAACGTACGAGGTTGAACTAGTGTGTGTGTGTGTGATAATCTGCCAATCGCGCGTCGCACCCGAATGCGGGACACCAAGTCTATCTCATAGTCAATGCGACGCTTCCTTGGCATTGCTGTCACCTGACATGCCGCCTTCCCTCGAAGGGTCGTCGGCTGGGTTCTTGTCGGTCTCGGTGTACCCGTAGATCGGTCTTGCCGACGCCGCCAGGACCAGAGCTGAGATCCTCTTGACGGCTGCGTTGAGCAGATGCGAGGAGGAGCGCCCCCGCGATATCACACCAAGTCCAACCTGCGAATCCATCAGATGAGCGAACCTCGTGCCAAGGTGATGGCCCACTCTGAAGCGCCAGCGAAGGCCTGCCAGCGTGCTCAGCACTTCCAGCGCCGTGATGTGGCTCTTCCACCTCCACTTCCAGACCAGCACTGTCTTCCACGTCCAGCGGCTCACGCTGATCGGGCGGCGTGGCCACAAGTCAGGGCGCATGACCTCCAGCGTGTCGAGGCGCACGTCCGAGCCCCTCACCTCAGCTCGCCGGATCAGCTCCTCCACGATCTGGATGCTCGGGTCCGCCTGCGCCTCGGCCTCTTCAAGGCCACGGTCCCTGATCACCACCCCGCTGTCGTCGCCCTCCTTGGCTACCTGCACCAGGCCCTCGGCAGCGTCGAAGGCGCCTCCGACCGCGCGCGCCTCCGCCATCGTGGGGACCGAGTCCAGGTAGCCGTGTCGGTGAGCCCAGTGCGCCACTATCCATGCCACCACGCCGCACTGGAACGAGTTGCCCAGCAGGGCGCAACGTACCACCTCGAGCTCAGCCAGCTTGCGGAACCGCGTGGCCCGCGCTGTCGCCGTGTGCCCAGGTGGGAAGTCCATCAACATCTCTCTCTCAAAGGAATCCGCAGGCTCCAGCGCACCTCCTTGCCATCGCAGACAGTGAGGATCTCGAAACTGGTACGGCGCATAGCAGAAGTCGTGCCTCCGCCAACGCTCCAGCTCGGCCTCGCTGCACTGGTGCAGGCCCTTTGGCTTGTCGCCGGCACGCCCGCGCGGGATGCACCTCACGAAGGTGGGCAGACGCTGCTCAGGAACCTCGGCTCCTGACCACTCTCGCCCAGGGCGCAGCCAGCGGCCCAGCGGGCCTGGACCTCCAGGGATCGTCACTTTCACCACCTCACTTTTCACACAGACTTCGCCCTGCCACGGCGTCATGAGGTCGGTGTCACACCAGTAGAGCCTCTCTCGGCGAACGTGTGAGATGTCGGCGGCATCGATCATCACCGGGGCCAGCCCCATGTGCTCTGACATCGTGTCGCGATCCTCGGCCGTCATGGAGGACACATTCTCGATCAAGTCGAACACCTCGACCTCCACGGGGAACACCTCCTTCACCAGCGACTTCACCCGCTTGATCTCGTAGAAAAGGCCCGACCTCGCTCCTGACAGCCCTCGCCTGTCGACGCTCAGCCTGGTGAGGTCCACGCAGGGAGCTCCAGCAAACAGGAGGACCCAGCGCACATGAGGGGCCCTGTCTCGGATCTTGGCGATGTCCTGCGCGCTCAGCTTCGCGACGTCGCCCAGCTCCACCACGTCCGGCCACGCGTACTTCACCGCGCGGCAGGCCTCTGGGTCCGTCTCCGACGCAGCATACACGGCCACGCTCAGCCCCAGCATGTCGAGGGCCCGTCTTCCACCTCCGATCCCGTCGAAGAGCGACAGCAGCACGCCCTCGTCCTGCAGCCGCCCCACCTGGCGCCTGCGAGAAGCCTTGGCTGCCTCAACGCCGTGTGGGAGCAGGCGCACAGCCCGGCATACCGCCCCCTTGCGCATGCTGGCGTCGGACACGGTCACGAGCCCGCTCACGGGCGTCCTGAGGTCGCACCTCATGAGCGGCAGGAGCCCCACGGCCAGCAGCAGCTCCCTCTGAACGGGAGCGGGCAGCCTGCGCTCGCCTCTCCAGCGCACCACGGCACGCCACAGGTCGTCGAACACGGACATCGTCTCACGCCTGAACATCATCGCTCGCACCCAGCGGCCCGCCACCACCTGCAGCCAAGTCTGAGTCAGCACATTCCGATCCAGCGTGGCGAAGGTGAGGCCCAGCAGACGGTACACGAACTCCAGGGGCGGGCTGATCACGCCCCTCGTGCCGTCAATGAGCTCACCCAAAACTTGACTGACAGGCTCACGGCACACTGCCTTATCCTCGCTCCTGGGCACCCCCCGCTGCGCGTACCTCTCGCAAGCCAGCTGCACCACCTCGGGGGGGCCCTGTGCCTTCAGCGCCGCCGCGGAGACCTCGTCGGTAACCTCCAGCACGTCAAGGTTGTCGATGTACACCTGCCACACCACCCAGCAGGCCGTACCAGCACCCTCCGGTATGAGCGTGTCATCTCCTCTCGTCGCCTTCGGCACCGTCTCCGCCCACATCTTGACCAGCACGTCCCCGTGGCAGCGCTGCCCTCGCCTGCAGTGGCACAGGAGGCGACAGCCCGAGAGCTCGGGCAAGCAGGCCAGCAGATCGGGCGAGTCGCGCAGGTGGCTCTCGTAATTCGCGATGGCCTCGCTCCTCGGCATCATCTTTGACACCTTGAAGGGGTTCGCCCACTTGGATGGGGAGAAGCCATACCGCTGCCCTGTGCGACCGATGTACACCTGTGGGCGCTCGTCGCTGTAGGATCGGCCCAGCTCGCCTCGCACCGGCAGCCTCGCCTCGCCCTGAGAGACCACCGAGCCTCTCTCACGATGTGGAGGCAGAGGAAGGTCGCGCCGCAATTCACGGTCCTCAGGCAGCGGAGGCACTCCCTCCAGCCACTCACGAAGCAGCCGCCGGTGGATGTGCTGGATGATGCCTGTCGCCGACACCCAGCCCATTGGGATCACGGCCGCGGCCACGTGCACCTCGCCGGTCCCGTCAAGACCGAGGCAGGACCTGCTCACCTTCTTGGAGAGCGCCATGTACTTGCGCCACACCGCGGGCAACCGGTACACGTAGAAGCAGCACTTGAGGTCCTCCGACGAGCTCATCATCACCTCGCCGCTCCTCAGGATGATGCTCTTCCACTTGTCTGTCGTCGGGAGGAGACCCATGTCCCCCTGGACCGTCTCCTGCAACCAGTTGCTCGGGATGATGTTCATCACTAGCCGCTGCGGCCCCGAGCCTTTGACGTGTCCCGACTTTCGTACACCAAAGAGGCCGCCCAGCACGCGACGGCCCTTGACCTTCACGATCTCGTCGGCCTCGATCGGGACGAGGATGCCCCTGTTCACGAGCTCGGCCGCGATGAGCTCCCACTCGTCATCCTCGGCCCAGACGCGCGGGGTCTTGGGCATCTCGCCCAGCTCCGCGGGGCTCTTCATCACCCACTCCGGGTGCTCCAGCACGCTCCTGATCCAGCCTTCGCTCACCTCGGTCGCCAATGCCGAGCCGCAAGCCTCCTTCGACGGCAGGGCGACCAAGAGGCGCTCGCGGTCTAGCTGCTCGGCTGGGTACACCTCCATGCCCGTGTAGCTTACTGCCGACGACTTCAGCTCCTGGGTCCAGTCGAGGTTCGCCACGGAGCCCTCGTACTGGCATAGGAACGTGCCCACACTCCTGGCCAGCAACCTCAGGGCCTTCAGCTGCACCGCGCTGGCGGGCCCGTGCCTTACCTTCCAGGGGGCCATCTTGAGACCAGGATGCTTGCCCCCCAGCGCGTGCTGGAAGTTCAGGCTCAGGACAGTGAGCTTCAGCCAGCCGTTCAGGTCGTCCTCGAAGGAGGGATCGACTGGCTCCGATTCGCCGAACACAACGCCGTTCATGCTCAACTCCTCGATCGTCAGATCGACGCAGGGCAACGGCAGCAGGTCACGCCGTCCGTTCCCTGCGGTCAGTGGTGAGAGGATATCATCGTACGATTTCGCATCAAAATTGCCAAGTGCCCCGCTCGACGCGGGCGAAGAAGTACTGAGGTCAGCTAGACGGCGCCCCACAACACGAACTGGAGCTCCACAGAGACTGCCCGGCTCACTGGCGGCACGCGTCGGGTTCAAGTAAGGAAAGTCGTGAATTCGCGTGGACGGCTCGTCCGAGACTGCGCCATGAGCGGCGCCGTTGCACTCATCCTCAAGGTACGAGGAGAAGGTGATCTCGGACTCCCAGCTGCCGTCGGACGTGCAGTCACACGCCTCTCGAGTGCCCTCGAAGCTCATGCATTCTACTTCCGATTCTTGTTGGACCTCTTGCCCTGGCCCTTGTCCTTGCCCTTGCCACGGGCCTGACCCTTCGTGCCGCCCTTGCCCTTCGGGTTCCACGAGCGCCAAGGTGGCGCCCCGCGGTGCTGCCCTTTGTCGCCCTTCGGCTTGCCCTTGTTGCCAGCCTTCGCCTCCGCGGTCACGTCGTCCGCGAACCTCGCGCGACGAACAGGGCTCGAGGGTCTCCGAAGGGCCGGCTTGCGATCCACTCCAGGGCTGATCGAGCCAGGTGCTGGCCGCCAGTGGGGCGACGGGCTTCTCGGGCTCCCCGATCTCTCGCCAGCACCTGTCCCGGCTGCCGGGCTCGGCGACGCTCTCTTCACTGCCTCGCCAGCGTCCCCTCGACCGCGACCTCGCCCTCGGCCGCGTCCACGCCAGAGCTTCGCCCTCCACCTGTCCTTCCTCGATCCGGGCGTCGGCGCATCCTTCTCCCCCTGTGCTCCAGGACTCGATGTCTGTGGGGGCGGCGTCGCGGGAGAGGGCGTCCTGGTGCGCCCGCCCTCTCCCTCGCCGAATCCCTAGGGGGGCCTCCTCGCGCCCGCTCGAGTGAGGCGCTCCTTCAACTTCGCACCCTCCGAGTAGGATGCCACGGCCGCCGACGCCTCGGCGCTGCTGGCCAGCCCGATGTCGGTGGAGTCGATCAGCTCGAGGTGCTCGGCTATCTTCCAGTGCCCGTCCTTGGTGGCCTGCTCGATGGCCTTCAGCCTCTGCATGAGCATGTCGCCCAGCTGCGGCAGATCGCCCCTCGTGAGGGCGTCCAGGCACTCCCCGATCATCCTCATCTCGCGCACATTCCGCACCCCCATCTCGTTCTGAGGGTGCATGCCGTGCCACACGCTCGTGATATACTGCACCACGTTGGACGCCATCCTATCCAGCTCATCATCGTTGTCGGCCCCGCCCCGCTGCGCCAAGTACTCTCGGATCTGCTTCAGACCCGCCGCCATGAGCGCCCCGGGGTCGGAGCGGGCCAGCTTCTGCACTCGGCGGCCGGAACCAGCGGTCGGGGCCTCATCAAAACTCGCACTGTCGGAGCTATCCTTGTCCCTGTTCTTCTGCTTCTTGCGGCTGCGGCGGCCCTCCAGCGCAGCCTCGGCGCGCTCGGCCAGCGCCTCGCCCATGGAGCGCTTCCTCTGAAGCTTCTCCTTCAGCCTCTTGACGATCTTCCTCATCTCCTCGGCCGTCCTGCCATCCACGTCCTCACCGTCGGCACCGCCTGAGCCCTTGGGAGCTCCACCTGCGTTCTTGCCCGGCACCACGGGTCCAGCGTCAGCGGCGGGCGGCGCACCGCCTGCAGGGAGGGCGCCAGGCGGGGTGGCTCCAGCGCCATCAGCGGCACCGCCTCCAGGCCCGGCCGCCCCCAGCACGCGCAACGTGTCCGAGTGCACCACGTTGCGCCCTGGCCAAGCGGTCGTGCGACAGCAAGTCGCCACGCCCTGGGTGCAGAGGTGCACCACGCTGCTTCCCATCGCGAAGATGCCCTGCAGGATCGGCAGGTAGAGAGGGTCGCTGCTGCTCTCCACTGTGCACTCCACGAACTCTCCTGCCGCGTCAGGCGGATACAGCCCTGTCACGGTCATCGTCGTCGTCCCGCTTGGCTGACAGGCAGCATCGTACATCACCAGCTCGACGCGGCAGCCGGCGCTCAGTCCCAGGAGGCCGTGGGTCACGGCCTGGGGCGCCATGGGCACGTATACCCAGGGTCCAGCCTGCTGCGCCGCCGCCGCGACCCCCGCCACCGCTGGCTGGGCGAACGCTGCTCCGAACTGCGGCAGCGCCCCGCCCGCCGCGGGCATGCCTGCCTGCCAGCCCACGGGCACAGGCGCGGCGGCGGCTGGCACCGCGTGGGCGGCCTGCCCTGCCACGGCGTGGCCGCCTCCACCCCCAGCGTGAGCGGGTGGTCCCACGAGGGCTCCCACCCCGGGGATCCCTGGGATCAGACCCGGCACCACGGGGCCGCCCAGGGCTGCTGGCGCTCCTGCTCCAGCGCCAGCGCCTCTGCCGCGACCTGCAGCGGGCGGCGGGGCGGCAGGCGGCTTGCCCATGCCGCCCATTGGGCCACCCATGCCGCCCATGCCGCCCTTGCCGCCCATCCCGGGCTTCGCCGCTGCCTTGCCTCCGCCTCCTGGTGCTGCGGGGCCTGCAGCGGCTCCGCCCGCGGCCGCGGCAGCTCCAGCGGCCACTCCGGCAGGCGGCGGCGGGAGCAGGGCGCCGACGCCAGGCGGCAGTCCCAGAAAGCCGCCCAGCACTCCGCCGCCGCCCACGCCGAGGAGCCCCCCGCCAGGGCCCAACCCAAGCGGGCCAGGCGGGGCGCCCGCGCCAGCCCCCGCGGCTCCGAACATCGCCACCGCCGTGCTGCCGCCGCGGCGGCGCGGGCTGGTGAGCTCCCCCAGCCGCCGAGGGGGGAGCTCACTCGGGCGCGGGCTCCTCGGAGGGGGTCATTCTGGGGACCCCCGCTTGCTTCTCTGACAGGGCTAATAGAAGCACCTCCACCGCGCACACCCTGCCGCAGCTTAAGCCGAGGCGGCTACGGAGAGGCGGTTTAGAGGAGATCGTTTCGAGGACGGAGGGGGGACGAGATAAAACCCATGAGAATCTCAAGGATATATGTATACTTGTATTGGTATTATCAGAACAGGCAGCAAGCGCAGCGATACTACAAACAACGATGGTAATCGTAGTAGTAGTACTCCGACTACTAGTTCTAGTAGTACCAGCACGAATAGTAATATTAGTGGCACGAGTACCATTCGTGGCAATTGCCAGGATAACAGCAAGAAGAGTCCAAAATCCTAGCGATAGACGAGGGGGGGATGGTGAGTAGGAGTACCACGGGTCGTACTAACAACATAAGGTGTAGTCCTAATGATATTCGTAATGTTTGTGGTCGTAGTGGTATTAGAAATCAGAACAAGCATAGTGCTACGACTCGCTGGGGTAACGATGGTAGTACTCGTAGTAATACGAATCGTCGTAGTAGTGGTAGTGGTAGTGGTAGTGGTCGTGGTAGTGGTAGTGGTAGTGGTAGTGGTAGTGGTAGTGGTAGTGGTAGTAGTAGTAGTAGTAGTAGTAGTAGTAGTAGTAGTCGTCGTCGTCTTCGTCGTAGTCGTAGAAGTCGTAGAAGTAGTGGTCGTACCAGTTGTAGTAGTGGTAGTAGCAGTAGCAATCGTAGTAATGCTGGTGGTAACATTAGTAATTGTGGCCGTAGTGATTTGAATGCTCGTACTGACACAAACCATTCGGGACATGATGCGAATAGTAATCATATAACTATTGGTCATAATAATGGTGTAGTAGTAATAGTAGTAGTAGTAATATTAGTAGTAGTAGTAATCGTACTCGTACTATTAGGGGTAGAAGTGGTAGCAGTAACAGTGGCAGCAAACGTAGCAGCAGCAGCAATGGCAGAGGCAATTGTAGCGACAGCATCCGTAGCACGGGTGGTAATGGTGCAAAGAGTGACGGTCGTGGTGGGAGAAATCGTGACAATAATAAAATTACAAGTAGTAGTAGTAGTAGTAGTAGTAGTAGTAGTAGTAGTAGTAGTAGTAGTCGCAGTAGTCGTAGTAGTCGTAGTAGTTTAGTAGTAGTAGTAGTAGTAGTAGTAGTAGTAGTAGTAGTGGTAGTAGTAGTAGTAGTAGTAGTAGTAGTAAGTCGTAGTAGTCGTAGTAGTCGTAGTAGTAGTCGTAGTAGTAGTCGTAGTAGTAGTAGTAGTAGTAGTAGTAGTAGTAGTAGTAGTAGTAGTAGTATTAATAGTAGTAGTACGTCGTAGTAGTCGTAGTAGTCGTAGTAGTAGTAGTAGTAGTAGTAGTAGTAGTAGTAGTATTAGTAGTAGTCGTAGTAGTAGTAGTTGTAGCGACAGCATCCGTAGCACGGGTGGTAATGGTACAAAGAGTGACGGTCGTGGTAGGAGAAATCGTGGCAACACTAAAATTACATCGTAGTAGTAGTAGTAGTAGTAGTAGTAGTAGTGGTAGTGGTAGTAGTAGTAGTAGTAAGTAGTAGTAGTAGTAGTAGTAGTAGTAGTAGTAGTAGTTAGTAGTAGTAGTAGTAGTAGTAGTAGTAGTAGTAGTAGTAGTAGTAGTAGTAGTATAGTAGTAGTAGTAGTAGTAGTAGTAGTAGTAGTAGTAGTAGTAGTAGTAGTAGTAGTAGTAGTAGTAGTAGTAGTAGTCGTAGTAGTAGTAGTAGTAGTAGTAGTAGTAGTAGTAGTAGTAGTAGTAGTAGTAGTAGTAGTAGTAGTAGTAGTAGGAGTAGGAAGTGTAGTGGTAGCGGTAATCAAACTTTTAGAAGTCGTATTAGTCGTAGTGGTGGTAGTAGCACCGGCAGTGGCAGTGGCAGTGGTGGTGCTTGGATTTGAAATGGGAGAGGAAAGCAGAAGTGGGCCGAGGGGGAGAATGAGGAGGAGGAGGAGGAGGAGGAGGACGAGGACGAAAAGGAGCAGGAGGACGAGGCGCCCAAGGAGAACAACGATCCCCCCAACAAATAAGTGAAACAAGTAAATCTTGGAGCTCTGGGCGGAATTCTTGGATCTGCGCTGACCACCTCCGCGGCGCGCGTGAAATGCCAGGGGCGGCGACGGAAATGCCGCAAGAGGGGCCCACCGCTGATACAAGAAATCCGCGCCGATCGTCGAAACTGTATGTGTATGCCGTCGCTTCTGCTCCGAGGCAGGAATCATGAGGGCTGGCCGCCGGCTGGATGCCGAGGGCACCGCGAACACCGGAGCGCGCTCGAGAGGCCGAGGACGCGCCGATGGCCGCCAGTGCCCAGCGAGCGCCCGCGAGTGCCGCAGAAGGCCGGCGAAGGCGCAAAACGGCCGGCGAGTGACGCCGCGGGCGCGCCGCCGCGGCTCCCTGGCGGTGGCCGCGCGCTCCCTGTCCTTCTCGACCCTGGCGAGGCTGCGCTTGCGTCGTTCCGTCTCTTCGATCAACTCCTCGAGCCTGCCGCGCGCGGGCGGGGAGGCCGCGTTCGCTGCCTGGGCCCGGGGAGCCCGGGAGGAAGAAGGGAACATGTTTTCCTCAGCGGTCCTCTGGTGCTGGGTTCATTGTTGAACAAGCAGCGCCTCACGTTCACTCCTTCCTTCCTCTTGCCCCTCCTCCCTCATCCTGTCCCCCCCCATCACTTTGGCACACCGCTCACACGCTTCGCGGCCCCATAGGGAGCTCAACTGAAGGTCCAACTGCTACCGCCCGCTTGCGCCCCCCAGCGCAGTACAGCGCTACGTGGCCCCATAAAGGGCCTCCACCTAAGATCCCAGTTCTCTGTGTTACCGCCCGCACGCAACGGAACATCAGCGGAGCACTTCGCTGCCCTGGAGATGACGGCCTCCACTTGGTCTGGAGTCATCGTCTCGGCGACTCCAGATACCATGGCCGCAAGCGGGCCGAAAATGTCCTGGGGCGAACGGCCGCAGAAGTCGAACGGACGAGCGAACGAAGAAGCCGTGCCATGACGGCACATCGGCTGCAGTGCGAACGGTCTGTGAAACGTACATGCATTTTCATAGTGGCTCGCCTGCTGACTTCGCGCAGGAGGGGGGGAGGGGGAGGGGCGGGGGAGGACGGTAAGCAAGCAAGTTCCTGTGAAAGGAAAGGGGCACATGTTCTGGACAGCTTCCAAACAAGAACACAAACTTGACCAGAAGCAGAAGGGAGGGAAGGGCGAACGGGAGGGAAAAGGAACTCGACGGGGCCGGGAGAGTGGAGTAGAACGGGCAAGGGGGGAACGGCAGGCAAGAGCAGCGGACGGGTTTGCACGGGCAGGCGCTCGCACCGCCGACTTGCGTGCTCGGCGAGCAACGTTCGCGCGCGGGCTCTCTGCCTCTGCGATGAACTGGAGGGTCACGCAGGCAGCTCGCCCGCTGCCCGTGACCTCGTGACGGGCGCCCCAAACCCACTGAAGCGATCAGCGCTGGGAGACGGGCGAACGCGCAATCGTTCATGCGTGGATTCGCCGCGCATGTTTCGACTTCGTGCGCAATTTTTTCCGGGATGATCCATGATGCTCCTCGATGATCCTCGCCGAAAGAAAACAGCACGCGCCCGAACGACGCCGCGGGGGGGCGGCGGCCGGAAAAGCTGGACAGGAAACGACCAACGATTGACCCATACGACGAGCGAGTTCCAACCCCGCAGGTAGGGAGAAAGGAACGCTGTGGGGCCCTCCTCCCTCGCAAACAACGAACGAATCATCTGAATCAGTAGTCGCTCTTTGTAATATGATTTGACAAAACACCCCGTCCTAATTGGATGGTAATCACCTGTGGCCTCAGGGCACGATGCAATCGTATTCTAGGCGGATGCCCCGTAGGCTGCTCGGACGCTTCAGGAAGCTATAGGGACGGAGGAGGAAAACAGGAAAAACAGGAAGCACAAGAAAAAACATGTGCTTTCACATGGAAAAACAAGACAAACTTGAAAAAGAGCGACAGTCACAGGTTTCGCTGCTTTTTCTTGTTTTTCCCTGTGAAGACACAAGGTCTTTCTTGTTGTTCCTGCTTTTCCTGTTTTCTCCTCGCCCGCTCTGCTGCGAGGGAGGGCCGCGGGCCGCTCAGAGACCCCAGGGCGCTGAGGGGAGGAGAAAGGAAAACAGGAAAAACATGAAAAACATGAAAAACCATGTGTTTTCACATGGAAAAACATGAAAAAAACTTGAAAAAGAGCGACAGTCACAGGTCTCGCTGTTTTTTTCTCTCTTCCCATGTGGAAACACATGTTTTTGTTTATGTGTGTTCTTCTTTTTTCATATGTTTTTATGGCTTTCCCCTCTTCCGCTCTGCTGCGAGGGCGCGGGCCTCTCAGAGGCCCCAGGGCGCCCCTCTTTCCTTCTCTTCCTCCTCCTCCCCCTCCCGTTCCTCTGCCTTCTCCTCCTCCTCCTCCTCCTCCTCCTTTTCCTCCTCCTTCTCCTCCCCAACCTCCTCCGCCCCCCTGCCAATCCCCCCTCCGGCTGCCATGGAGCTAATCGCCAACGCATCATAACTCGTGAGCACGCTTCTCAAAGCGCGTGGTCGCCGCGAGCAACCCGCATTGCAGTTATTTCTGTTTTTATGCAAGGTGCAAGGTCACGCCAGCGCTGCTCACTTGAGTTTGCGCCCCCTGGACTTTGCAGTGGAGCGAGCAGATCGGTATGTCGATGAATCCTTCTCAGTGGCATTCCACATCTCACAAAACTCGCTAACCCAGAAGCGACGGCTTGCGGGCCGCAAAGAATTCAGGGAGAAGTTGGCGGAGCGAATCCAGCTGTTAAAAATCTCAGGAAGCTCAGACGGGAGGCCTTTCGCGCGCGTCGTCTCCGCCTTTGTCCACTTGCGCTTGCTGCACTTGTGGTTCTTCAAGTGAAACTTACCGGTTCGGACATGCGTCACATTACAGAAGAACGCTGCGTGGTTCTTCTGCACGTGCTGTTCAAAATGGCACGCGTCGTCGTGGAACGGCAAATCAGCGCGGACGTTCGGCGGCCTCATGACCGCCTTGACGACGCGCAGCTTGTCCGCCATATTCTCGCTGTGGGAATGCTCAGTGGCCCCCAACAGTAGCCGAGAGTGAGGATCAAGCACAAACTGCCGCCCAGCAGTGTGTCCGCGCATCGCTGGGCGAGCCTTGTCCTTGTTGGCGCGCGAAGCAGTCCTCTCGTCCTCCTTGCATGCCAACTTCCACTTCCGACCGCGCGCGGCGGCTGGCTCTGGGGCGCCCGCGCCGCCCTGAAGATCGCGGTGTACACCGAGATGTCCGTCGGAGCCCAGCGCGCGCACCTCGCAGGCAAGAGGGTACGTTGAAGTCTTCTTCACATTCCATTGCAATTCTGCAGGGCATTCCACGTCGAAGGGCATCGCGCCCGTCCGGGACCGACGGGCCACGGATAATCCCTCCAGCGCGTGAAGCAAGCGGTCGCGAAGCGAAATGCGACTCAAGAGCTCGCCATCCTGAGAGCACCGTTGCTCATGAACGAGAAGATGCCGAACGGCTGCTTCCTGCCCAGGGGCGTTCTTGGCTCGCAGGAGCCGCGGGCGCGTCAACTCCAAGTAGTCGCACGAGAAGCCAAGTTTGTCGGTAACAGAATATACTCCGCGAGCCTGGGCCTCTTCGAAACTCGAAACGCTGCACTTCCGTTCCTGCTGCCAGCCAAAATTCGGTCGGGAGGATGCGCCGCCATTGCGGCTGCAACACCTCTTTCGGCTCGTCCAAGCCGTCGTGGCGGCATCGCTGCCCACGATGGTGCACAAGGCTGTCTTGTCTGGCGCCTTCAAAGAACAACCGCAGAACGCGCGCTGCTTCAACTTCGAAACGTCATTATTGCCAGCTGCCCCGCCCAAACTGTCAAAGAGGTCCGTCGAGAACGACGCGTTGTGCTTCGACCCCACGGCGTCCAAATGCTCGGCCAGAGCGCCCAGACTGGACTGATGAAGCCGCAGGCTCCGTCCAACATGAGGGCATTCGCGTAGCACTCTGGAACGTGTTCTTCCAGGCCGCCAGCGAAGTCGCTCATGATCTCCCCCTCCACGGCAGCCAGCGCAAAGTGGGGGCGAGACGCGCAAGGGTTTGGCCGATCAGCGAAGCGGCGCCTCAAATATTCAAAACGAGGCATGTCCAACACGATGTCCACGGCCGCGGAATGGCATTGGACGGCCTGCCCAAGGGGACCAACCGAATCAACATCTTCTTAGCTGCTTCCAATGGTATCTCGCAGTGCCGCGCTAGAAACTCTCGCCAATGCTTGTAATTCTCGACGAGCTGATGAATACTTCGGACTGGGCACGCACGGCGCGGCCGTGCCCCGCAAGGGCGTCCGCGCTCCATCGCGCATGGACACCTCAAGGCAAACCAGAAAGCCGAGTGGAAGAAAGCAAAACGCAATTGAGCGCAAGTGCAAACTTGAGCCAGGCCAGCTACGGAGCTACCTGATCCCCGTTGGGATGCCACTATCAACAACACTCCACACTGTTTGGCGGTACCCCTGTTTGGACCCCCCTCAAACATCGCTGCGTTGAGAGCATCCCTGTTTGGGATGCCCTCTATCAACAACACCCCAAAATGTTTGACGGCACCCTTGTTTGGGACCCTCTCAAACATCGTTGCGTTGAGGGCATCCCTGTTTGGGATGCCCTCTATCAACAACACCCCAACATGTCTGGCGGCACCCTTGTTTGGGACCCTCTCAAACATCGCTGCGTTGAGGGCATCCCTGTTTGGGATGCCCCTATCAACGACGCCCCAAACTATCTGGCGGCCCCCTTGTTTGGGATATCCTCAGACATCGCTGCGGTGAGGGCGTCCCTGTTTTGAAATGCCCTCAGAAACATCACGGGCCCTCAAGCAGAATTCATTGGTAACGTTTTGGGCCCTGGGCGCCCTCTCCCGCTCCTCCCTCAGCCGTCGCCGTCGCTTTCGTCTGTTTGTGTTGTTGCTTTTTTTTAAGTCTGCAGCTGCGCGGCTGCGTTCAGCCCCAGTCGTTAGCGTGCTCATTCGGCGGGCCGTTTTCGGCCAACCAAAGAACTCGCTCTGCGAGTTTCCGCGGCAGGTGGTCGGGGGTCCAGCTCTTGAAGCTGGTCCACCACCTTTTCCAGGGGCGCAGGTCAGAGGTGGCGCCCTCAAGCTCGTTGGCCTTCTTCTCAGCGGCGGCCAGCTTTTTCGTCAGCCTGCTGTTCTGCTGCGCCAGCTGGTCTCTCTGCCGCTCGCCCGCCTTCTTCTCGGCAGCAGCCGGCTTGTCCGTCAGCCTCCGGTTCTGTTGCAGCAGCTGGTCTCTCTGCCGCGCCAAGGCTTTCAGGATTGCCTCCGCCGCGCCCTTGTCGCGGTAGTGCTTGTTTGACCGTCCCCTGTCGCAACGCAATGCGCACCGACAACGCATGCAAGGCGGCGCGTCAGATTCTGCATGCCCCGCAAACGAAGGAGCGCGGCCTGGCGAGAATAAGCGGGTTCGAAAGGCGGTCGCCCTTCGCGGGGGCACAGAAACGGGCGCGCCGCCAAGTTATTGTTGTTGTTGGTGCGATTTCATGTTGCCTGTCCTCAAGTCGTCAGCTTGCCGTCGGTGCTCGAGAGTCTGCGCCCGCAGCTTCGCAGCAGCTTGGCGCCCAGCCTTCAGTGGGACCTCTCGAGTCCTCTCCTGCATCAGGAACTGATCCACCCGTATCTTCGCCCGCCGCTCGTTGTTAGCGTCGAGCTTGTACCTGTGCTCCTTGGTTCCCTTGCGGGGGTTGCCCATGGCCGAAGACGGTTCTGAAGCGCGGCCGCAGAAGGAAACTTGAACATAGATGGGTATTGCAGGCACAACAACAATAACTATGATGATCATGCTGACGATGACGATGATGATGGTGATGATGATGGTGATGATGATGCTGATGGTGGTGGTCATGATGACGATGACGCCGATGATGATTATGACGACGATGAAGCTGATGATGATGATGATGATGATGCGAATGCCCAAATTGCGAGACAGGAGGGCCCCACAGCGTTCCCCTCTCGCAGGCGGGTGCCGACATCCGAACCCCATCCCCACCAACTACTGATTGTCCGGAATCGATGGGAAACGGGAGTCGGGTTCGGACTCCGCCGCGCGCTCGACGGGTTCCGAACCCTACCCCCGCCGGCGAAGGCCGGGCTCCACTGTTAGAGCCCCCCGCCAATTCACCAGAACAGGGGGCCCAACGCCCGGCCAGAAGACCGGATCGGCGGCAGGTGTCCGAACAAGGGAAGACAGGCTTCGACATAATCCGGCAGCGCGTCTTCAAGCTTTTGTGTACTCAAGCCGCCCATTTGGTCCCTGTCCGATCGGCCGTCGCTCGGGTGTCCAGTCCCCGTGCAGTTTTCGGCGCCGCGAATGTCTGTTCTTCGCTGGATGATCTGTGGTGTTCCCAACGTGGCCTGGATTTCGCGGCGCTGACCTGGCCGAAACGAATGCGCATGTCCAGGCTGCGCCGAATTCTGGTCGAAACTTCCGCCGCGTCCTCCAGGCCAGCTGCCGCCCCTCCAGCACAAGCCACCGCGCTGCCCGGCGCTGCGTCGCCCCCCCCGCTGCCTGCCGAGCTGGCCGCTCCAGCCGGCGCCGCCTCGCCCCTGGCCCCTGCAGGCGCGGCCGTGCGCGACGCCGACGGCCGCGGCTGCCCGTGGGCTTACTGGGCTGGAAAGCCGCCATGGCCAGGGCCGCGCAGGCCCGCCTGCCACTCGAGCCCGCAAGCGCCGCCGAAGCCCCCAGTCCCTCTCTCGCCGCCAGCGCGGCCCGCGGCAGCAGCACCTGCCCCGCGGCCTGCTGCAAGGCCGCCGGCGAGGCCGCCCCGGCCCTTGGGCCCATCGGGCCCGGCCCCGCAGCGGCGGCAGGGGTGACCGCGCCAGCTGGCGCCGCGTCGTCTCCAGCCCCGCCAGAGCCCGCCGCGCCATCCATCGGCACGTCCGCGCCCGCCAGCCCGCCAGGTCACGCCGCCGGCGCCGCGCCAGCTCCAGTCGCGCCGCCGAGCCCCAGATGCTGCAAACGGCGACTTCATCACGGGCCCGCGGCGTCCCACCCGACGTCAGAGCGGGATGCTGACCGGCATCTTGGCCCGGCGGGCAAGGAGCCTTTGCCTGCCAGGCAAAGACTTCCGGCGATGCCAAACCGCGCTGGCGCGATAGACTGCCGCCATGGAGCGCGCGGCGGCAGTCGCGTCGCAGTGCGGCCGGCCCCGGCAACTCCAGATCAGCGAGCGGTGCTCGATGCCTTCGTCCGCGATCTCGGGGAACACCTCGGCGTACCTGCCCAGCTTCTCTGTCGCCAAAGGGGCGCAGGCGTCCGCCCCGTTGCCCGCCGAATCGGGGCAAGCCGCGCCAACGTCCAAAGCCGCTAGGCGGCCGAAGTTACAACGTCAGCAAGGCGGAGACTTTCACGCGACGGCCCACACCCGGAACCTCGACGCCGGCGGCTTTGTCGGACAAGCAGGCGAGAGCGAGGGAAGTATCGCGGACCTTGCTGTGACCACGGGCGCTCGCCCCTGGCGCGCATCGCAACGCCCGGCGGCACTCGAGGTCGAGCCCGCCCCCCGCAGCAACCACATGCACGTGACCGGCACTTCCAGGACGGGCACCCCGAGCCGCAGGCGGGCGGCCACGACGAGCTCATCACCCCGAACGTGGCCCCCAGCGGCAAAGCTTAGGACCCAAATGCAAGAATGGTCCGTGTCCGGATCTCGCAGGTCGTCGAGCAAGTGCAGCCCGGGCCAGGCCAATCCCCTTGGCGCTGGAGTTCGGCGTAAACGCCGTCCAAGTGGGCCCCCGCCGCCAGGCCGCTGAGGCGTGCCTGCGGGCCGCCCCGCGCCGCCGCGTCAGGGTGTTCTGGGTCCTCGACGCCTCTGGGAGTCATAGTCCAAGCCTTGACGGTTGTAGCCAAATCCAGCGCTGGCCAGCGAGGCTGCAGGCGCCCGACCAACTCCCATGCCACGCGGGCCGCCTCTGAAGCGTCCTCCGCGAGGACCTTCGCGGCGAACCCCCGTCGGTCAGCCGGGAGCTGCGCGAGCCACGCCTGCTCAGCGGCGGAGGTGGAAGCGTCTCACTCCGCGAGGAGGACCTCGCTCCACCGGGCCGGCATCGCGCAGCAGAGTTCTCCGGCCAGCGGCCGCGCTTCCGTGCGGCTGGCCAAGAATGCCGGGAGGCTGGCGTCGGCCGCGCAGCGGAGGCCGAGGCCGCCGCCCCCCAACACCACAGGCCGCACGCTCCAGGCACACCGTGGGGAGCTGGGAGCGCCGCCAGCGCGAGCACGCAAGTTGCGTTGCTCGAAGAGACAAGGAGGTGCCGATCTTCTGCCCAGGTCCGCCGCGCGTGATCTCGCCGTGATCCACGGCCTCCCTGGCACGAACGGCCCACATGAGGCCGGGCGCACTTCGATGCCCGAGATTGCACAGACAAGGAGGCAAGTCCCTGGGGCCTGCATGCGCAGCGCTGGCTCGCGTCTGTGACGGGCAGCGTCTGCCCGCGGCCTCCTAACGCGGTTCCACGACCCTAGCCTTCCTTCCCATGGCGGAAGGTCTGTGCCAGGGTGAAGTGTGAGACATGATGTCGAGAGCTCTCGGTCGCGGCATGCGGGCGGGGGGATCACCTTGTCGTCCCAGCGCACATTGAACCCCGCGGCAAAAGAAAGAAATGAAGGGGTGAGGCGGAAAGGGAGGATACAACGGCTCCAAATTCTGCGGCAACTCAAAGGAATCTCCCATTCCAACTTGTTGGCTCTGGCTCATCGTCACTCATCGATGCGAAATCGACGCTAATCGGCTCTAACCCATCCGTTATCAGACACTAGTCGAATCTAGTGCACTCCAAAGACGGAGTTGCAAGGATATTCAAGGCTCCCATGATTTGCCACTGAATCAAATTGAGCTACCGCTGTCCGCTGGGGAATCACACGTTCGGGAGGCCATCGGCTTGCTTGGAGTGGACTGCTCATCACCTCCATCACCTCTCGGTGTCTCGATGGCGAGGCCCCTTCCAAAGAGAGCTGGGCGCATCGGGCCGTCGAGGAAGAACAGAGGGCGTCCAGGAAGAGCCACTTTGGCGAAAGAGGGAACTCCAGGCGTCTAATTGGGTTCGAGCTGGGCGTTTCGCCCGACTTCGGGCCCCAGCACCTTCACAGATCGATCCAGCTCGAAAAAACTACGCTGAAATCTGAGGCCCAGGGTTTTGCTCGCGATGTTCACCGACGTTGCGTGTTGTTCGAGACGTCAGAGCTGGGGTCAGCGGGGCCATGGGCCGCGGGGGCCAAAGACGCCATGCACGGGGACAACGTGGAGAAATTGGAAACGGAGGAGAAAGGAGGAGGGGCGAAGGAGCATCGAAGAGGAACAGGGTGACGGAAGAGGGGGATGCGGAATGATTACGAGGATGAGAAAATACAGAGGGGTGGGAAGGAGGTAGAAGGAGGGAGGTGGAAGAGGGAAAGGAGGAAGAAGAGGTGTGGGAGGAGAGGAGGATCTCCCCGCCTCTTTTTGGTGCGCTTCAAGGAGTTGCCCATATCCAAGATCTTTCGGTCCTTCTCCTGGCGCAGGGAATTGGATGACAGGGGTGGCCCCCCTCTCTCTGGACTGTCGCCATGCTTGCCTTCCAACCCTTCTTCCCCCCTCCCCTACCCTTCTCCCCCCCCCACTCCCCTTTCGATACATGCGACGTGGCGAGAGGGTGGAGGCAAATGGCCAAAACCCCTCGGGGAAGAAGTGAAACACCGAGCTACAGGAAACCTTCCTCATAACCTCTCTCTCTTTCCCCAGGGCGCGCATGCACGGCGGCCTTGCGTAGAAGGATCTGGAAGGAGGAGGAGGAGGTGGAAGACGAATCTGCAGAGCTCGGACGCTCGAAGTGACGAGGTCAAACGAGAGCTCCACCCTTCCCGCCCTACTGGCAACCCTTTCCGCTTGAGCTTTCCGAGGTCCAGAATATTTGCTTCGGGATGGCATGCAGGGTTCGTTCATGTGCAAGCATTCTGCAGTCCCGAAGGCACGGCGGCAGCCCCTAGGCTGTGCTCATACCCTGGCCGAGTCGCAGAATTCACTGCCTCCTCTACCGAAGGGGCAAAAGGGACACATATGGTGTTGGACAACGGTCTGCTGCCCAACATGTGACATTTCGTCACGCCTGGTTATGGTTATCGTTATGCCTCGGTATCCTCCCCATCTACTCTCAGCTGGTCTGCCTCAAGTCCGAAACGTGCGTCCCTGGCGCTTCGTGTTTGCCAACGACAACCGCCTTCCTCCTCATCCTCTTCTTCTTCCTCCTCCTCCTCCTCGTCCTCCTCCACTTTCTCAGCCTCTTTCCTCCCCCTCCTCCTCCTCCTCTGCATCCTCCATCTCCCTTGCCCTACCCGTCCACCTCCTTGTCCATCTCTTCTTCCTAGTGTCCACATCCTCCTCCCCCCCTCATCCACATCCTCAACTGTGGGCGCTGCTCTTCGTACGTGATATCGAATCCTTACCATACACCGGATATGACAATCCATCTACCCCACTCGCTGATCCTCAACCTCGCAATCGTGACTGTAATCGACGCTGCCGTCGTCGTCGGCATCGCCAGCAGAGTCGCACGCGCGCGCGTGTGCGCTCGCGCGCGCAGGCGCGCCCCAGTCCTTAAGCTTGCCGCCCAGCTCCGCCACCTTCTCCTGGGCCCACTGCCGCTGCTGCCTCTCCAGCGCGCCCATCTCCTCGTGCCGCTCCTGGGCCTGCGTGGAAGCAGCGGGGGATGGCCAGCGAGCGAACATCAGACGGAAAGTTGCTTGGATGAGAAGAGCAGGCCGAAGCAAGCAAATAACCTGCCTCGGCACACAGGGCGGGGAGACGGAGAGCGAAGAGAAAGAGGGCGGGGCGGACTTGATGGGGGATGCGACCCGCAACGTGAACACGGTAAGCATTGAAAGAACCTGTGTGCGGGGGAGGGGGGCGGGCAAGGAACCCGACCCAGACGGTGTCCGCGTGCTCGAGAGGACATCATCCAGGCAGAGACGATCCTTTGTCAACGTCAGTATCAGTAACTGGCACAATCAAGCAAAAGACGATGAAGACGATAATGATATAAAGTTACACACCGGATGCAAGAGCAACGGTAACGACGAACTCTATCTTTACTGCCGTGGTTGCCCGGTAATCTGTGTATGTTGGGCGTGGCTTGATGGGGGGGTCATCAATGGGGGGGTCAGAAACGGTCCCCTTTCGTGCCCCTTTCGGGCCCCTCTGGACCCCCAGGGGGCTCGTTTAGGTACCGTTTGGGTACCTTTTCGGACCACCCTCACCAACCCCCCATGTATGACCCCCCCATTACGCAACGCCCAAGTATGACTTGTGGCTTTCTTCCGGGTCAGGCAGGGGCCCGCGGTCCTCCAGTACCTGTCTCTGTTGCTGCTGCAGGCTGCCCAACACCTCGCTGACGTGCTGCCTCGTCCGCTCCAGTTCGGAGGAGGTCTGCTGCGTCTGGGCCTCAGTAGGAGAGCATAAAATGTCTCCCACCCCAGCGCCCGGGAGAGGACTATGCCTGTTCAGGAGCCTGGTTCCTCACGTCGTCTTCCATTTGTCTGTAAGTTCGTCTGGATGCCTGCCTGTTTTGGGGTGAATTTGGAATTGATGGGGTTTTGATGGCAAAACGGCCATGGGGTTCGGATGGGGCGACTTCGTATCCTCAGGCAAATGAAAATTCGTTGATGGGCCTCTTTCTGGCGGCCCACGGTGCGAGAAATCGCCCGCCGCGCGGGCTTCCCCCTGGGTGACAATGGCGAGGGGAAGGAGTAGAAATGATAGTGTGATGGGTGGGGCTGTGATGAAGTTGCCGAGGGGGGGCGGTTCAAAGAAATGTTTTGGCCAAGGCTCGGGTTGGGGCCGCCGCTACGGGTCGGCGCCCGACCATCATCACATATTGCCATGCATCTACCAAGCATACCCACCTACGTCCAACAGTCCTACAGGGCAATTTTCGCTCTAGGGCACATGGATCCCTGCAGAAGGGGTTCAAACAAAAAACACGCACGCCGTGGGCACTGGGGGGAGACCTCATCAAACCTACGTTCGCGAGGCCCCTGGGCCATGCGAGGGACGAGGGCCCAGACTGGGTTGCGGGCCACGATGAAGCTACCAGCAAGGGTCGGTTAAACAAAAAGATTATGGTTATGGCTAGGGTCCGGGCCGCCACGTCGGAGGGACACCCGCCCGCGATCACACAATACCCCATGAAGAAATACACGCGCCGACCTACTCTAACACCCCTGCTGGGCAAATTTCGATCTAGGGCCCATGGATCCCTGCAAAGGGGGGGGGGGGGTCGAACAATAAACGTTCCGCGGGCAATCGGGGAGACCTCATCAAACCCCAAGGAGCCCCCAAGAAGCCCCCAGAAGACCCCAAGATGACCATACGAAACCCCCAAGAGGGCCCTGAGAGGTACCTCGAGAGACCATGGTGTGCATCCCAAGGGTGCCCTGTCTAACTACTCAGCTTCCACGATCGTCGCAAGCTATCCCTCGTCCGCTGTGTCGGCGGAGTGGCGCAAGCCACTTGAATAAGTCTGACAGGGGAGTGCATGGGGGAAGGGGGAGGGCATGATGGAACAGTAGCTGTGCATCCTGTGGCGAAGGATGTGTTCGCTCTCGTGGTGGACCTCGCAGGCGCAGCTGCTGCGAGGGCCACTCTGTCGAAAGACGAGCTCTAGGTCCTCCCTAGAGCTCCCCCCGATCATCGAGCGCCCCCGATCGTCGCTCGCTGCGCTGCTACGGCTGCATTCAGGATGCGTCCGAGACGTTCAGCGCCGCGGCCAGCCTTCCTGCGACCTCGTCGAAGATCGGCTTGGCGATGTCCTCCTCGCCGTAGGTCCTCGCGTCGCGCACGCTGTCCCTCAGGTTGGTCAGACTGTCTGCAGCGGTGTACTGGCTGAGCTTCGCCAAGGCCTGCATGGCGCGAGCCTCCCACAAAGTGGCGTGCGCACGCCGCTGGCACTGGGTGAACTCCGACTCGAGCTTCTGGAGCTCCCCCTTCTTGCCGCGAGCCGAGGCGTCATCCTTAAACGCTGCGAGCTGATTGGAGATCGTGGTTTCGAGCTGCTTCAGCTTCGTCGTGATGCCCTTCTGCCTGCACAGCGTGCGCTTATAGCAGTCCTGGAGGCTTGCGTAAGAGTCGGGGTCCACCGCGCCCCTGCTCCAGTGGTCACCTGGAAGAACCAGGAGGCTGCCAGCCACGCTGCTCAACTCCTTGGGCTCTGCCGCTGCGCCGCGCGCCAAGCTGCCCCAATGGGCGGGGGAAAACTCTAACAGCATGGCGGCGACGTCGGAATACACGTCGTGATACGGCGCATCGTACGCCTTGGGCGCGGGAGTGATCGTGCGGATTGAGTCGGCGGCCGACTTGCCCTGGTCACCGCTTGGCTCGACCCCCCCCCTGCGGGGGCCTCCGCGTCGCGCGGTGCCCGGGCCGCCTCATGGAACCTGTCAGCGGTCGCGCGCAACTCCTGCCATGCCTGAGGGGCGTCGCGGCCAGGCGCTCGCAATGCCAACTGCGCCGAACAGTTGCCCAGGCCCCTTTTCCCAACCCTTCAGCATCAAGCCTCCACCCACCTTCCAACACATCCCCGCCCGCGCCCCTCGTGAAAAGAACGCCTAGGCAACCGCGCATTTGAGGTTGGAATTGCACGCCCAATCACTGCCTCCACGACCGCAGCGGCGCAGTCGTCATCCATATCTCCGTTCTTCTGGTCGAACAAGTCCCGAGCCTTCAGCACCTTCGCGAACCGGAACAGGGCGTCGATGCGAGCCTTGGCTGCCGCCGCGAAAGCGATCGTGGCCCCGAGCGCCTCGATGTGGTCAACGAGCGACTGAGCGACGCCGAGGAGCTTCAACATCTCATCACCTGAGCTGCCAACCACGAAGTCGGGGCCGCGGATGGTGGCGGACAGGGCAGCGGACCGCGCCAAACAAGCGTCGATGCAAGCGGCACGCGGTCGCAAGTGCGTTCTCCTGGACCGCAGACGCGACGGACCCCGCATGGCCTTGGAGCTCAGCCGCCAACTCTTGAAGCCGATCGAGGTGGGCCACGTCCGCCCCCCTGAAGTCGACCGCCTTGCCTGTGAACAAGTGGAACTTCGACCCCATTCACTTCAACGCTTCGGGGGAGGGCGCATCGGCGTCGGCTGATGAGCCCTGCGGCACTGCTACCTTCTTGATCCAGCCCCCCAGCGGGTCGCAGATCGCTTTCAACAAGTTGTCGGCCCCGCCCTTGCGCAACCAGTTGCCCCACTCGCCGAAGCCGCAGAATATGGCCTCGGAGTTGTTAGCCGTGATGTCGCCCTTGCCCAGCAGCTCGGTGAACTCCTTCATCGATTTGCCGTGCTTGATATCGGTGCGGTACGCCATGTTGTGCTTGGCGAGGCAGTTCTTTAAGCCATCGCCGAACGCGAAGACGACCTCCCTCCAGTCCTCGCCCCCCCTCCCTGCAAGGGCATTCCAAGATCGAGTTGGGGGGCGGATCTAGCAATATCTTCAAGCTCTCCGAGAAGACGTAGATCCCATGTGCCAGCGGCCTGAACACATCGGGAACTGCTTTGCGTAGCTCGTCAGATTCAACATGATCGCTGAGGCGTCGGCCAGCTCTGACAGCACCTCGACTTTGAGCGCGTCTTTCCTGGGCCGCGGAAGCACGACGTTGTTGATGATGAACTCCTTGGCCAGCTCGGCAACCTTATCGGGCTGCAGCCCGACGAGTGCGAGGGCGGGCTCCTTGACCGAAAACTGCTATTCGGACGCGGCGGAGGACGCAGCCCATGGGATGCTGATGTTGACTCAGTCCGTCACCGACGCCGCCTCCCTGACAGCCGCCGCGACCACCTTCATCTTAAAGGTAAGGGCCCCTTCAATCTCGGAGCTCTTCAGTGTGTCCAACATGTTGAGCCTGACCTCCTTCTTCATGTTGTCGACCGCGTCTCCACCGAGGGTGAGGCATGCTTCAATGACGGATTGCAGCCTCTGCTTTGATGCGCCGACCGTTCCCTGGTTCTTCGGGTTGAACCTGTTCAGGGCGTAGAGTTTGTTCCCGATCCCGTGGTGCCCACCCTTGTTCAACATGCGGCAGATGTCGATGTTGGACTCGAGCTCCCTGAAGCGGGCCCTATCGGGGTCGGCCAAGCCCGTGTCCGCGGCGCCCTCGGCGGCGCGCCACGGGGCCGCCGCGGCCCCGCTGCCCGTCGACTTCCCGTCGCCCAGGTCCTCCCGCGCGGCGCCCACTACACCGGCAGCTCGCTCGGACATCCGAGGGGCGGGGCGGCCGCGCACCGAGACCTCCGAGGGCGAGGCAAGGTCATTCAGGCCAGAAGCAGACGGCGCCAAAGGGCTGGCGTTGCAGATGGCTCTCATACCAATGCCTTGCGCCGCCGCATGCGCCTCACTCTGGTCGACATCGGCTGGCCTGGGCGGAGTCGACGGCGGATGCCGCGGCAGCCCTTTCACTCTCGCTGCCCCGATGGCGCGCTTCTTGGCCTCCGCCAAGGTGGGGGTAGCAACGTGTCCGCGCAAGGCCGTCGGCAGTATCTCCCTGGTATACTTATCTATAGCATTAGACGTGCTCGAGGCTTGCTGGTAACGGCAGAATTTCGACGCCTGCAGCGCCAACTCCGAGTGAGACCCGTACGTGCTGGACCACTTGCGAACCCTAGCGTACGGCTGCGACAAGTCCACGACCAGCGCGCCCGACATCTTCTCCGAACGGTGCTCTTTCTTCATCTCGGTGATGCGCTCACCCGCGTCCGACGGGACCAATTGCTCTGCGCCTGCGGGTGCGATGTCTTTCTTGTGCTGCTGCTCGCTAGTCAAAATGCAGTCCGAGTACACCGCGAAGCCCGCGTCCTGTTTCAAGCTCACGTCGTGCGGAGCAGCGGGGGCGACTGCCGTGCCATCCGAGACCTCGCATTTTATTTCTTGTGCCTCGGCGAGCTCCTCGTCTTCGTCTGTCCTCGTGCACAGCGGTGCCCACTGGTAGCCGAAGTGCCGCTGGCCCCTGCAATGGCCACGGAAATGGTAACTGCAGCCGTGCATGAATTTAGCGATGGGCTCGCCAGGCATCTTAACATCTGGAAACACGTTCTCCTCGTCCTCGACGCAACCGCAGTGGCCGCATATGCCGAGCCTCGCCCTGTCAGGCGGCGTGGACCTCACATGGCGGACGATCAACGGGCCGGCGAACGGCTTCGATCATGCCCCAGCCGACCCTGCAAGGCTCTTCCTCTTCCTTGGCTGCTGCGTGCCGCCAGGCCCGCCTCTCCCCGCGCCAGCTCCTCCGCAGGCCTTCTCCCCGCCGCCCCTGCCTCTGCCCCTGGCGGCGCCCGAAACGACCGACCCCTCGGGATCGCCTGCGGCGCTAGCCGCAGCCTCGGCCTGGCGCCCCCCCATCGCCGCCGCGGCTGCGCAGACTGACGGACGCGCTGCGCGACGCGAGTGATGCAGCCC